TTGAGAAAATAAATGCCTTGGTTATTTTTCGTTGCACAATTAATGACATCAGAAAGTTTGCAATATTAATTATTATTACAGAAAAAGGATGACAAACACAATTGTTTTTATACCGAATGCTTACAATACGATTTCTAGTACTAGGCCCCGTTCAAGGCAAAAATCGCAGTTCAGCACTTAATTAACCCATCATAAACTACTGCTCCACGGCTGTCGTTAGGATTAGTCAGGTTTGAATTCGTATTTCAAAAGGGATGAAAGGTTTCGAAAGGGGAAATGACTCCGATTGACAGTATGAGCACGGAATCGCTTTTTCCTGTATTTTCGTGCGTTCAGAGGAATTGCCTATCAGACCATTTAGTGCTGTGGGAAAGCTTGGTGTAATAAAAAAGTGAGGTGCATTTAGTTCGAGGTTTTTTGTGTCATAAAATATTGAAAACAGATTATTTATTTTTTTAAATCCAATCTATACTTTTTCCTGTGTATATTTCTTTCGAATTAATTAGGGATGAGGTTTATAAGAATATTATTTTAAGTGTTTGTATGATTAAAATTATATTTAAACATGATGAAATGATTTAAAATTTTATCAAATATATACTTTTACGAAAAAAAGGACTCGTTACATAAAATAAAACAAATGAAAGTTTTCTAATATCAAGTTCCATAATTTTCGTAGCTATGATTTTTTTTAAAATGTTGCAATAAGATTTTCTTTAAAATCTAAAATTCGGACCTCTAAATTCTTGCATATATTTACAGAAAAATGTCTTCTATTATTACTTGAAATGTATTTTTGAATTTTGACTACAGATGTCTTCAGAATTCTTAATTCAAAATATTTTTCTTAAATGATGGGTAGAAAGAGTATTTTAAAAAGCATTTCTATATTTTTGGTGTAATAAATCAAAACAGATGCAAGTTGTTTTGTTTGTTTTGAACATATTTTATTGACAATATGTCAAAGGGATCGGACACAAGTTCTAACAACTTAGTAGTCCTCTCCCATACATAAAATCTGAATAGCCATACAACATTTACAAAATTTTACAATAATATATACATGTACATAGAAGAACAAAGACAATTGTTTTATGAATAAGGAAATAATATCAATTATTAGTATATAATAAATACAGTATTATAAAAATATAATAATTTCAATAGAGATAATACAATTTAGTGTTAATTATGAAGTTAGATGCAAGTTAAAATTTGGTTTCTTCCCACATAAATTATATAAATGTGATTGAAATGACAAATAATCTTTAAAGGTCAAGTAAAATATCCAGATCTCGTCTTATCTCGTAGGACATCACATGGCCAGAGAACTGGTCATTGTCAAGTCGTTCTTGGTGCAGATGTTCAAGATAAGAAACACAGGGGGCAACATTAACTACCAACTTTTGATTACGAGTAATCGTTTCACTTAAATGATGTTAATGAGGCTTAAAAGCTGTATCGTTAAATGATCGTGATAGAAGCTTGATCTGGACATGAAAAAATCTGGCTTCGGAACAACTGACCGGAAGTTGGTTGTCATTGCATAGAACCAACTATGCTGACAATGTCAAAGTCCGAAATGATAAACATCGAAAAGATTAACAAGTCATTAGGATATTGGATACTCTTAAAATAAAATGTGCAATATTTTGTTAGGTCAAATTGACCATATGGAAAGATTCAGGTGTAATAATGGTACTGAAAGGAATACGTTTTTCTATAATTTAACCAAGAAGCTTCAAACTCTTTGCAAATTTAAGTGAAGAACATGGTGTATAACAAATTCAAATCTTTTGATGCAGACTTTTATCCTAGTATTGTGAATGCTTTTCAATCAGTGAGATTTGTATAAATATCAAATTTTCCAGCGACTTTGATCCCATTTAAAAATTGATCAAGTCCTTAACTGGCTGATGCTCCTTTCACCGGCCTCCATATTTTCCAAATTAGCTTTTATTGAACCTGTAAATTGTGTCGGCTGATTTCTTGCCGAATGACAGCCAGTTGACATTGGATATCTCTAAATCGGATTCGTTCATTTTACCCACAATGCCCCACATAATAGGTCGCAATTGAAAGGGAATCGGTAGCAATGAATGCAGTATCGCTTTAATGACAGCGCATTCTCTGTTTCCTAATTGATAATAATGGACTGGATGGATGGGCAGGGTACGATGGCAGTGATACTGTCATTTCAACTGTCATCTATTGTTTCTGAGCGTGTTCCGTTTTATCTCTTGATTCTGGGAACCCGATTTTTTCCGCTGACCCACAATGATTTAATGGGTCTTCCACAGGTTAGAATCAGGGATGAGAGAGATCACTAACCTCGCAGACACTGTGCACTATGAATTAAGTTTTACTATGACCAAGCAACACTTATTTTATAGATTAAGTAATTTTATTTTATCCTATTGTTTAAACTTGAAACATAGGTTCTCAAATTGCACAAAAAAGAACATTTAAAAATCAGATATGAAAAAATACTTATATTCAATTTTTGGGGAAAAAATCATTTTATTTTTAATGCAGCCATAAAAACTTTGTTCACAATATACAGGTTTTCCTTATATCATAAAAGATTATACTTTTAAATGAAAATGTGAAAAGGGGGATTTTAAAATAAAAAGTCCCCAAGATTGTTAGCAAACAGTTGGTTTATGTACAAGTAATAGTTAGTTGGTGTAAAGTAATATTTCTAATAAATGTGAAATAAGAATGCAAAGAAAATAATACTACAGAAAATTAAGAATAAAATCTCTCGATCGTTAAACAATGATATCAAATTTTGCCAGAAATGAACAGATTATATTAACTAAAATTTTGAAGAACAGAAAAAAAAGATAATGATAGAAATGATAGAAATAAAATCGGAGAGAAAAAAAATCTGTAATATTAACTGTTCATATGTCAAAGTAAAAATAAATTGAACATCCGTCAAAACAAAAGATTATTTCCAAAAATACATAACAGAGAAAATCAGAATACAAGAAGCCGGGTCCTTGATTTCTGCAGGACATGAATTACAAGAATCCATTATTTCTATTAGAGAATCAGGGGATCAGTCATTATTCCGGATCCGTCGATTCTACATCTACATAAAAATAAATTAGTCGAACTGTCACCCTAGACCAGAACTGGTCGTGTTAATCCGGGGATTTTTCCGTCTATGTCCTGAGGTTGACCAGCTAGGGACAAATAATCTTGTTTGCACATGACTTAGTAGCGACGTGCATGATTGTCAGTGATTTACAGAAGTTCGCAGGTGATCAAAACCACCCTTCAGGTCAAATTCTCCAGCGAAAGGGAGAGGTATAAATCAATTACACGTGTAAATCATATTTAAAACATTTTACATTTTCTTTTTCTAATGTTTCTTTTGCAGATAAATCAGAAACTTAGCCACTTCTGTTTCCTCTGCTTTCACGTGGCAGCGTTTTTACTAGGAATTTGTCAACGAATTATTCCCGCCAGCGACAAAACCACTTTCTTCGCTTCCTTAGACCGATTTCTCTTTCATTCGAATGTTGAACATGGTCTGAGAGGCTGTAATTCTCTAATATCTGTGAAGAATAAGAGTAAAAATATTTGCAAAAGCAAGTGAGCCTTTAAACTGTTGTTATTATAAACACTTCATCATTATCTATTTATCGAGCGAGACTTTTTACTCCCCACAATTGCTCAGACGAATTCGAGGTCCCCTTAGCTAGCCATGCTGACACTACAGATTATAGGCCTGTTAATTATCATTAAATGAGAAATATTAATATTTCTTCAAGATTCCACTTGAATGAATGAAGAGGATTTTGGGGGACCGGCCTAGTTTATTTCACAGCTGTTGAGGACATTGATTTCAAAACAACGTTCTGGTATTCAAACCCCCCAAGGGGGAGCTGCACACTTAAAGAGCGCATCAATCTCGGTAGGGGTTTATCCTTAAACTTCTGCAAAAACAAATCTATGTTTAGACGCAAAAAGCAGGTCTATGTTGGTCTATGTCATTAGGTTCCATTCTCTGTGACTTAATTTGTAGTCTTGATGCAGAAAGCAAGGATTAAATGGGCACAACGAGTGAAAAAGGATTGCACTTCAAGTGATTTATTAAAATAAAATGAAGACTACTTGGTAAAATCAGGGTGTCTAGAAAAGACTTTAAGAGCATTATTATCTGTTTTGTAGAATTTTTAAGTGCACTGCATTTTAATAAATAAAATCTAAAATTGTCACGAACGATTTTGATCATATTGCTGTTTTTATATAAATACTTAGTTCTCTAAGAAAATGTGATTGAAAATGAAATTTCAAGTCTTCAAAATGGAAGCAAAAGGGAATATTAAAATGCATTTTTAGCAATTATATACTTGATAAACGATAATGGAATTAATACCTATCATTACATTAACCTTTTCATAGAAATTTGTATTATATAATGAAAAATAACCAATAACTTTATTAAAACTTTTCATATTAATGTTAAAAACCCTAAAATATCATTTTCAAACCAGCTGTATTTGAAAAATTTACGTGCCATCTGAAATATAAAATAATGAATTTATAAGCCATAGATCAAATATTATATAAACATACAAACGAACTATTAATAGCCATTCTCTGTAACCACTTAAACTTCGTTGCCACGCATGGTCACCGATTTTGATGAAACTTCACCCATGCTTAGTACTTGACACCAGAAATAAAGATCAAACAAAATTTCGTTGCTATGTGTCTCGGTTGCTATGGCAACAGCCAGAAAAAATTGAAAAATTTTTTCAGCCACTTTAAATATATGGCTTAATAAAAAGTAGAAAAAGCAAACAAACCATTCTCACAAAAACATGACACCTTGATGTCACTTATACTGTAAAGAAACTGTTTAGAATATATCTCTAAGTAAGTGGTAACCAAGGGTACATTTGGAATACATTTAAAATGCTGAAATATGCTGAAAAACACTCTGTATTCACTAATGGTAGGTGTTACATGCTCAATATATCAAT